CGCTACTCACAAAGGCTGAGTGGTGACTCCCATCAGAGAACATCCTTCCAACGAGCAGGAGGAAAACGAGTGGTGGGGAAACTGAGGCCCTGAGGGGGCAAGTCGAAGACAACTTGTGGCTGGGCCTGGTTCCCGGGACTCCCAGACAACGTTCCTCGCAGCATCCTCGGGCCTTCTGGTCTGGTCTTCTGGCATGGAACTGGGTACCAGCACAGTCACTCTGCCGAAGGGGCACATCTGGACCCACGCCTTCCTATTTCTTCATTCTCGATGGGTGACTGAAGGTGATGCACTCAGGCTTCCAGGCTCTTCCTGAGTCTCAGTAAAATTGAGGGCAGCCTGGGATAGGTATAGTCCCATGGCCTCCAGAGAGAGGTGCGATCTTAATGAACATCAGGAACCAATCTTTCTCTCAGCCTCAATGTCTTCATCTGTAAAATGGGGGAGCTGGCTGGGAGACCACCATGGGCCCTACGCTGAGACCACAACAGCACCATTTGGAATGTGGTCTTTTCCACTTGGAGGGCAGGGGCTGAATCGCCCTCATCTCTGCCCCCAGAGTCCCCGCATGAGGCCTAGCACACTCCCACAACATCTTGCAGCTTGAGGGCCTTTCTCGACTAACCTCTGACCTATCTGATTCAAGTCAGGGGGCGCTGCCTGGTGATCTAGAGGCTCCACCCATCCTTCCTGCCACTGCTGCAATTCTACTTTGAGGCTATCTCCCTAAAGCTGATGACTTTAGGGAGCAAATTTCACATGTTCTTCACAGACATTACAAGCCTGGCTCATCCGTTTTGCATCTGGCTTCAGAATTTGTTGTCCAGATTTCTAGGAAATCAGTAATGAGTGATTCTAATAATTGTTTGTTCTTGGAACGCTCCTAAAAATAACTTGGTCAAATGAGGGTGGCGGTGGGTGGGGCACTCCTCTAAAACATTCCTCCTTCATTCCATCCAAGGTCTCAAGTTCCAATTACTCATAAAAGTTTTGTGTGCATAGTTCCAAATTCTAATGAATTTCCAGGAAATATCACCAAAATGATGTTGGCATCGTTAAGATGTGTGTTTTTTCAAAAACTCTTGCTAGCTGCTCCCTTTTCCTGCAGACTCCAACTGCAAAAAATATGTCAGTTTCTGGGACATAGTATTGGAGCTGTGTCTTAGTGGCGTAACTGATGATACTGGATTCTCAGAACCGCCAAGTCTTAAGATTTCAGAGTCAGCATGTCCAGAATAACGCCCAGCAGTCTCTCCTCCTCAAAGTCAACACTTTTTAAGCTTTGCCTCTATCTACCCATGACGTTCTTTTGGATTCTGAGCAGGTGGATATTTTGGGCCTTATTTCTTTGTCGTCTCTCTCCATCTTAGTCAAGAGACTGGTGTCAACCAAGTTCCTAAAGGACGACAGCTATGGTCAAGGTGCTCAGGGCAAGGTCCCAGCCTAAAGTATAGCTGCATCTGGAAAGCTGCCATCTTGTCCCCGTGTATGTGGGGAGCCTCCTTTGCCATCCATGCCATCTCCATGCCCATGATGATGGTCCAGCTCTGTCCCAGTCTCAACCTCAATAAACTTCCGTTGCTGGAAAGAAGCAAGCAGATCTGACCAGCCCCGAGGCTGTGGCTTCACGCCGGGCTGGCGAGTAGGCGTTTAGCACCTTCCCCTGGCAGAGGAGCTAAGCCGCAGAAATGAGCTTGAGTTACATTGCAGGGTCCAGCCAACTTGGCAGCCCCATGGGTCAAGGCTGGTGTGCAGCCAGCCGTGAGTCCAGCACAGTTAAAGGCATAAAACAGTACTTTGCTACAGAGATATACTCTTGGGCAGGTTTGTCCATAGTGCCCCACCCACAATCCATGATTTCTGCCACCACTGTCTTTCGAACAGCCTTCCTCCTGCCAGGAATCCCCACTCCACAACTCTCCTTACGCATCTAGAACCCAGCCTCCCACAGGTTGAAATGCTACCTCCAATGATGCTAATGAGGAGGGCTATAAGGCATGGGTAAAGATCAGAGTCTCTTCTCCCATCTCTAGGTTCAAGTCAAACCTCAGCCATATCTACTCCTGCCCAGCAAGTCCATAGCTCTGAGGTCTTCTCACCAGTTCTACATGTCAGAGCTTCTTCAGAGGCTGGAGCTAGAATCTTGGCTCTAGAACATCGAGAGGACCCCTCATCACAAACATCTGAGTTTCATCAAAGGTTGTGCCTGGGGTCTTGGCTCTGGAACATCAAGAGGACGCTTCACCATGGAAATCTGAGCCTCATCAGACGCTGGGGCTGAGGTTTTGGCTCTGGAACATCAAGTGGTGCCCTCATCTTGGACATCAGATCTTCATCAGAGACTGAAGCTGAGGAGTTGGCTCTGGAAAATCAATATGGCCATTCATCATGGACATCTGAGCTTAACTGGAGACTGAAGCTGGGGTCTCAGATCTGGAACATCAAGAGGGCCACTCATAGCTGACATCTGAGCAGCACCAGAGGTTGGAGCTGAGGTCTCAGTTCTGGACATCAAGAGGGCCACTCATTATGACTATCAGAGCTTCATCAGAGACTTGAGCTGAGGTCTCAGTTCTGGAACATCATGAGGGCCACTCATCGTGGACATCAGGGCTTCATTGGAGGCTGGGGCTGTGGTCTCTAAGCTTTGAAACATCAAGTGGACCTCTCATCATGGACATCTGAGTTTTATTAGAGGCTGGAGCTGGGGTCTCAGTTCTAGAGCATCAAGAGGGCCATTCATCATGGAGATATGAACTTTATCAGAAGCTGGTGCTGGGTGCTCAGTTCTAGAACATCAAGAAGGCCACTCATCATGGGCATCAGAGCTTTATCGGAGACTGGAGCTGGGTTCTGAGTTCTGGAACATCAAGAGGGCCACTCATCATGGGCATCAGAGCTTTATCGGAGGCTGGAGCTGGGTTCTGAGTTCTGGAACATCAAGAGGGCCACTCATCATGGGCATCAGAGCTTTATCGGAGGCTGGAGCTGGGTTCTGAGTTCTGGAACATCAAGAAATCCATTCATCATTGGCATTAGAGCTTTATTGGAGGCTTGAGCCAGGGCCTCAGTTCTGGAACATCAAGAGAAACTCCCGCCATGGGCATAAGAGCTTCACTGGAGGTTGAAGCTGAGTTCTGAGTTCTGGAACATCAAGAGGACTTCCCATCATGGGAGTCAGGGCTTCATTGGAGGTTGGAACTAAGTTCTCAGTTCTGAAACATTAAGAGGGCCACTCATCATGGGCATATGAGCTTTATTGAAGGCTGGAGCTGGGGCCTCAGTTCTGGAACGCGAAGCGGGCCTCTTTTTATGAACATCAGAGCTTCATTGTAGGCTAAAGCTAGGTTCTCCGTTCTGGAACATCAAGAGGGCCACTCATCATGGGCATTTGAGCTTTATCGGAGGCTGGAGCTGGGGTCTCAGTTCTGGAACATTAAGAGGGCCACTCATCATGGGCATCTGAGCTTTATTGAAGGCTGGAGCTGGGGCCTCAGTTCTGGAACATGAAGAGGGCTTCTTATCATGGACATCAGAGCTTCATTGTAGGCTAAAGCTAGGTTCTCAGTTCTGGAACATCAAGAGGGCCACTCATCATGGGCATCTGAGCTTAGTGGAGGCTGGAGCTGAGGTCTCAGTTCTGGAACATGAAGAGAGCCTCTCATCATGGGCATAAGAGCTTCATGGGAGGTTGGAGCTGGGATCTCAGTTCTGGAACGTCATGAGGGCCACTCATCGTGGACATCAGAGCTTCACTGGAGGCTGGAGCTGGGGCCACTCATCGTGGACATCAGACCTTCACCAGAGGCTGGAGCTAGAGTCTCAGCTCTGGAATTTCTAGGGGTCCCTTATGTGGATGACTCAGCTTCATCAGAGGCTGGGGCTCTACCCATCACACACAGGACTCTCCTGTGCTGTCTGCCCTCTCTTCATAAGGCATAGACTCATCTGGGCGGGGCACACACTGGTGGCCATTTTCTCTTGGTCTCACTGCTGCCTGGACCATCACTCAGCACCATCCATGTCTCCATCTCCATCAGGGACTGGGGTCAGGTCTTCTTGGCTGGGCCAGGTGGTTCTTTCTCTTCAAAAAGGAGCCACGCTCAGCTGGTGCACTCATGGCTGGACTTGCTTGTATTTTCTCTTAAGGCACCTCGCTGGAGGTGGGTGGGGAGGGAAGAGGGAGGAGGAAAGAAGGGAGAGAAGGAGGCAGGGGAACGAACGGAGAGGAAAGAGGTGGCGGCGGTGGTGGTGGCTTTGGCTCTGACAGTGACCATGTGGTGGTGGCAGTGAGCTCTCCCTTCGCACAGGTTGCATGTCTAGCTCATCTGCTCCAGTAATACCAAGTAGGCGGCCTGAGGACTCTGTGTGGACTTGGGTCCAAAGCCCCCTGCCCTTGTTCCCTCTGCCTTCATCAGCCCCAGCCACAAGCTTTTGGCCAACAGCCTGAGAGTCCTGATCTGGGCTTGGTGGGTCTAAGGCTTGCCCTCTGCGGCCCCCTCAGGGCCCTGCTCAGTAACCATCTGGTGGAATGAGTGTTGGCCCAAGGTCACAGCCAGGTTGGACCTATTTGGCCATCCACTTGCCATCGTCCAAGATTAATAACTGCTTGGACAGACCCCTGCCATGACCCTGGGAATGTGTGAGGCGGGGGAGGAAGAATAGCAGCCCTGGGAGCAGCTCCTCTTGGGGCTGCAGAAACCAGGACAGTGAGCTCTGCTCAGACTTGCTCCATCACCTCTGTACATTCCTTTCTGGAAAGAAACCTGGCATCCTACGACCATTAGAAGAAGGGGGACCAGCTGGGTTAGTTCATCCAAATTTGTATCAGTCCCAGGACCCCCAGCAGGCCAGCCCTGCTTCGGGACAGCCTATCACCCTTCAGTGCCAAATGGGTAGGGGACGGGGGATACATCACACTACCCAAAGTGAGAAGACCCAATAACACGGGACATTCAACACTTACCCCTCCTTATATTAGTAGCACATCCATCACTGTGTTTGTAAGGCAAAAAAGACATTTATTGAGAGCACAATAGGGTGTCAAACCACATCACAGGCTCCTCACAACAACCCTGTGAGGTAGGTGGAGAGCCCCTTTCCCAGACGCGGACGTCGAAGGCGCAGCTGGTCCCCTAAGTCTCAGGGTTCGAGTGGGGTGAGCAAGGGTCAAGCCCACATGTCTGGCCCTCAGCTCAGTGAAGTCCATCAGCAAAGAGTGGGTGGCTACTGCAGGGGAGGTTGAGGAGGGCACACTCCTCCTTGCAGGGGCAGCCCGGGTCCAGAGTCTTTGGGTCCAGCCTGTCCCGCGGTTATGTGTGCAGGGCGTCCCCGTGGCTGTGGAGGCTGAGAGAGACACAGGTGCAGATGAGGGCCACCTGCTCCCGGTCACACTGGCTAGCAAGAGTTCTCATGCACACAAGCAGGCAGGGAGCAAGAAGAGGAGGGGAGCCTGCTCTGCATAGGAGATGGACACCTGAGAGCCCCGATATCTTAGGAAAGGCTCCTAGCAGCCTTGAGGGGCAAAGAGAGCACCCAGCCACCAGCTCCTGCCTGTCTACCTAGTGCCCTTTAACCTCTGGTGTCCTGTACACCACCCACAGAGACTTTCAGAAGCACAGCCCTGGTCAGGGCACCCTCCTGCACCAACCACTTCTCATGGTGCTCACCTCACTAAACAGAATCTAGAAATCCTGGCCTTTCTAAAGCACACCAAGCTCTCCTGTCCAACCCATTACCAATTAAAAGTGCATGTTTTCTAAAATATCAGCCTCCTCTGAGGGTTTCTAAATATTCTCCCTCGGCCTCTATTCTGGCCTCGACCCCCTCCCCGCCAAGCCTGTTAAATCTATATTTAAAAGCAAACTTTTGCCTCCCTCCTTGTTTCCCCAGAGCCGTCCAGGTGCTTCTCCCACACCCTCTGCTCCATCCAATAGTCCCCTGGGTGGGAATCCCAGGGAATACAGCGCTGTGACCAGTGCTCACAGACTACAGGACAAGTGGCCAACCCCAGAGCCCCCAGGAGGGCACCTGTATGGCAGGTAACAAAGCATTTATTTACATATAAATAACCTCCCTGAAGCAGTAACCATGGCAGATAGTGTGGCTAGTTCCAGGTTACACGTGAGCAAGCTCACCCAGCCCTCCCAAACACACATATACGGACAAAGACACTGGGACAGCCTGGAACCCTGACCTTGATTCTTGGGAGCCAGCACAGGGCGTGCAGCGAGGCACAGCCACCACTCTTAGTGTCTACCTGGATCCCCTAGCTGACACCGCCATGACATACCCACCACTCAGATGGGAACGCTGAGACTTGGGGTGGTTCGAGTAACCTGCCCAAGACCACTAGGCTGGCAATGGTGACACCAGGTCCAGAAACTAAATGGACAAGGCCTCCAGAGCCCAACCCCTCAACGTCTGCCCTGCGATGTGGGTGATAGGTTCCCCTGCCAAGAAGATACACCCAAGCTGTCACCTTAATTTTAAACCCACAGGTTTGTCCAGCTCCAAGGTCCTGGTTTTGCCCAGGAAGTCTACCTCTTCCTCCACTGCAAGAACTAAAATGCCAAATTCTCAGTAGCACCCCCAAGACCCACACCTTGTCCCATGCTGGGATTAGTGAGCTAAAGGGGGTCCCACTGGGCCTAAGACCTGCATGGATGCTGAGGGCTGCATCCAGGGTTTGCAAAGTGCCATGTGCCTGGACACCCTGGTTCACTGATGAGCTGTTCCAAGCAGACCCCTCACGGGGCAGGATTCTTGTCATCCACAAGAGCAATCATCTCCCCAATTTTCTCTAAATAGAGCTGAGCATTAACTAATCTCGGATAGGGCAGGAATGGCTCTAAGGTCTCCTCCTGCGGCGCAGACCAAGGTGCTCTAATGACTTGAAAGCCTGCTCGTGGCCAGCGCCAGCCCTTCGACTCAGCGCCCCCGGCTCTCGCCCAAGCCTCTTGAGGATATGGGCTATGATTTCTGAGCACGCAGGGAACACAGTTTACTGATTACCAATCAACCTCATTTTGTAAGGAACAAAGTCGGACAAGACAATCAAACTTTCAACAGAACTCAGACTTGGAAGTGGCAGCTGAATAAGGGTCTCGCCTGGTGACTGACACACAAACATGGCTCCTTACAAACATGCTCAGCTCTCCTTGTGAGCTCGCCCTAGTACAGCACTAGCCGAATTTCAAATCTGTGTATTGCCCGTGAGTGAATGAATGAAGGGATGGATGACTGGGTGGGTCATGACCACGGCCGTCCGGGGGAGGAAGCCGGAAGGTGGAAGGCAAAGGTCAAGCCTGGGACCATGCACCACCAGGCAGGGTGGCCTGGGGAGGACGTGTCCCCAGCCCTGGATCCATCACTGTGTGCGATGCAGGGGAAAGCACCGTGTGAAGGGAGCCACGGGGGTGACGGTGGCAGAAGAGATTGAACTAGGGCTTGCTCAGGCCAGTGACCCAAGAGGAGGAAGCTACAAATATAGACATTCGCCACAGCCCATGGCACCACACACCCCACCCAAAGGAAAAGGTTTGCTTTCAGAAAAGAGGCCAAAGCACCATGTCAAGAATAGTAGTTGGAAAGCATGGGTGGATGGATGGATCAAATTAAGGTGCAAATCGCCGCTGGCCTCCCAAGCCTATCCCTGACAACGGACACCTTCACTCACCCTCCATCTTCCCTTTCATCAGGGAGTCATTCATCACTCCCTACACATTAACCCACGCTTCCATCCTCTCATCCATCAGCCAACCACTAACCCACTCAATTTGTCTTCTTCCATCCCTCCATCATCTTATCTAATCCATCAGCCAACCAAAAACCCACTCACTGCATCTTCCTCCATCCCGCCAACCTCTCCTCCATCAACTAATCATTCATTCACTCACACCTTCATCCATCCTTCCATCCTCAACCCTGTGCCAACTACTCACCCAATCACTAGATCTTCACCTATCCTATCCTTCCATCTTCTCATTAATTGGCCATACACTGGCAACTCACAACACCCTCATCCATCCAATTATCCTTTCATACATCAGCCAGTCCTACATTCACTCACTACACTTTCATCTATCTTTTCATCACCTCATGCATTAGCCAACCAAAAATCCACTCCTCACGTCTTCATTCAACCTTCCATTCTCTAATCCATCAACCAGCCATTCACTTATTCACTACACCTTTCTCTATCCTTTCATCTCATCCCTCAGCCAATCAAAAACCCACTCTCTACAACTTCATCCATCAGCCAACCACTCACCCACTCATTTGCATCTTCAATCCTTCCATCCTACCAACCTCTCATCCATCAGCCAATAACTCATTCACTCACACCTTCATCCATCCTACCATCATCTTATCCATCTGCCAAATGAAACCCACTCACTACATCTTTATCCGTCTTCCAACCTCTCATCCTCTCATCCATCCGCCAGTCACTCACTGACTACACCTTCATCCATACTTCCATCTTCTATCAGCCAATGACCCACAACCACATCTTCATCCATCCCTCCAACCTCTCATGCATTAGCCAACCACTCACCCACTACTTCACATCTTCACTCATCCTCTCATCCTTCCATCCTCTCAATTAGCCAATCACTGAGCCCTCGCTATATCTTCACCCATTCCTCTATCCTCTCATCCACCAGCGAATTATTCTCTCGATAGACATTCAACCATCCTTCCATTCTTTATTCCATCAGACACCTACTAACCCACTCACTTCTTCCTTTCATACATCAGCCAGCCACTGACCCATTCATTCACATCTTCTTCCATCCTTCCATCTTCATCCATTAGGCAATCACTGACCACTCACTACATCATAGTCCATCCTTCCATCAGCCAATCACACAATCATTCACTACACCTTCATCTACCCTTCCACTATCTTAGCAATAAGTCAACCAAAAATCCACTCACTGTACCTTCATCATCCCTTCATCCTCTCATCAATCAGCAAACCACTCATCCAATCACTACATATTCATCCATCTATCCTTCAATCTTATCGTTAGCCAAATATTGACAACTCATAACATCTATATATATCCCATTATCCTCTCATCCATCAACCAATCATACATTCCCTCACTACAACTTCATGCATCCTCTCCTCGTCTCATTGACCAGCCAACCAAACACCCAATCCCTACATCTTCAGCCATCTTTCCACCCTTTCATCCACCAACCATTAATTCACTCATCAGACCTACATCCATCCTTCGATCCTCTACGCATCAGCCAACTCCTCATCCACTCACTACATCTTCAACCATCTGTCTATCCTTCCATCCACTCATCTAATTGCCAATCACTGACAACTCACTACATCTCCATCCATCCTTTTATTCTCTCATCCTTTGGGTGTTCACTTATTCACTCACTATACCTCTTCATCCATCCTTCCATGGTGTTATTCCTCAGCCAACCAACATCCCACTCATTACCTATTCACCAATCCTTTCATTGTCATCCATCACCCAATTTTCATTCATTCACTCATTCATTCACCTTATACCATCCCTGTATCCTCCGATTGATCAGCCAACTGTTTACCAACTCACTGCATGTTCATTTACCCTTCTACCCATCCATCCTCTCGCCATTAGTCATACACTGACTATTCAGTACATTTGCATCCATCTCTCCTCTCATTAACCAGCCATTCACCATTCACTCACTACACTCTCATCCATCCTTCAATTGCCTCATCCATCAGCCAACCACTGACACACACACTCTTCATCCACTCCTCCATTCTCACAGCCATCAGCCATCCAAGCACCCATTCAAACATCTTCCATCCTCTCATCTTGATTCAGTCAACCACTCACCTACCCATTCACATACTCATCCATCCCTCCATCTGCTCATCCATCAGCCAACCCATCACCCATTCACTACATCTTTACACATACTTGCATCCTCTCATCCATCAGACAAATATTCACTCACTACATGTTCATCCACCCTTCCATTGTCATTTATCAGCCAGCCAATCCTCAATTCACTGTATCTTCATTCATCCTTTCATCCTATCATCAGTCAGCCAATCATTCATCCATTCACATCTTTATCCATCCATCCAACCTCTCATCCATTAGCCAATCAGTGACCACTCACTACACCTCGTCCATTCCTCCACCCTGTCACCCATGAGTCAATCAATCACCTACTCATATTTTAGTCCATCCTTCCATCCTCTCATCCACCAGTCAAGCTTTCATCCACTCGCTACATTTTTATCTCCCCTTTTATCCTCTCATCGATCAGCCAACTACTGATGCACAGTCATATCTTCATCCATCACTTCATTCTCTTATCCA